TCTTTGGACTTGTTCTGACCTGCTACATGATGATCCTGTTTGGCAACACAACCATCATTGTGGTATCAAGATTAGATCCCCATCTCCATACCCCTATGTATTTCTTCCTCAGCAACCTTTCCTTTCTTGATATTTGTCTTACCACCAGTCTTGGGCCGCATATGTTGGTGAACTTCTGGAGAAAAAGCAAGACTATCACTTATGGTGCCTGCGTGGGTGAGTTATACATCTCTCTTGCTCTGGGCTCCACGGAGTGTGTTTTGTTGGCTGTCATGGCCTATGATCGCTATGCCGCCATCTGTCATCCACTGCGTTATACTACCATTATGAGCCATTCTCTGTGTTTCACAATGGCTGCTATCTCATGGGGAAGTGGCTTCAGCAATTCAGTAGTACAGACAGTCATGACCCTTAGTCTTCCACGTTGTGGACAGAACCAGATAGACAACTTTTTCTGTGAGGTACCAGCCTTGATCAAATTGGCCTGCGTGGACACCTCTGTTAATGAAGCAGAGCTCTTTGTCTCAAGTGTGGTGATCCTTCTACTACCTCTGGGTCTCATAGCAATCTCTTACAGCTACATTGCTGCTGCTGTACTGAGGATCCGCTCAGCTGAAGGGAAGCGGAAGGCCTTCAACACCTGTGCCTCCCACTTGATGGTGGTGTCACTCTTCTATGGCTCAGCTATTTGTGGTTATCTCCGATCTCCGTCCAACTATTCCCGTGACCAAGGCAAGATTGTTTCCCTCTTCTATACCTTTGTCAACACCATGCTTAATCCACTGGTCTACACTCTGAGGAACAAAGAGGTACATAAAGCCATTCAAAGAATCATAAAGATCAAGAATAAAGATGATCAATAATGAAGGTCAATGACTAATGAAGGTCACAACTTTACTTAGCAGAACAAGACCAATACTTTTAACAAATGCACAATGTTGTTGTTAGTATACTCTTTTTCGTACAAACTCTTGAACATTTTGTTTCTGTTTTGTATCATTTTTAGAATAAGTCAAGGAGTCAAATTATATTAAAAGTCTCACTCCTTCACAATATCTCTCTCTTTAGGAATTCAAATCTGTGTGCAATATATCTCTCTTTAGGTATTCAGATCTAGAGCTAAACATTTCAACAACACCTGGACAAAGAAGTTGCTTTTATTTGAAGCTTCAATAAAAGAAGCCACTTTTATTATTTCAGCTGAAATGAACTACTGCAAAATCTAACACGCTTCAACTTTGAGGTCTGTTTCACCTGCCAACTAATTTCTCTTGTTTCTCAGTTTTGAACATAGAGGGCATCTGCATCAGGCTTTGTTAACATTTTTCAACCGTTTGTTTCTCATCTTGCCATCTCAGTCCTCTTAAAACAGTCGCCGCCCGCAAAATGATTATTTAATCAATGATATTGATGGGTTATTAATGATAGTTGCATTTTGGAGCTTCCAGAACACATGGACCTGTTTAATAATAGGTTGGTGTTCAAGATCCAAAGATAACTGATTTTGTAGAAAGCCTCAGTTCATAACCCCAAAAAAGATGTAAATGGTTCACTAGCTGAAGCGCTGGAAAAGCTGTTCTGGCGGCAGTTGCCAGAAATTCAGAAGCAATGCCAGGTCCACGCTCAGAAGAATGAAGTGAACTGGTTCAAAACAGACAGTACTCCAAATCTGACACTGATTTTCTTGTTGACCACCATAATTTCTTTCATGCCTGGAATAAATTGTTACTTGGTAGCTCCCATCCACCCTAATTCCATTTTTGTTTTTGTTTTTTTAATATATTTTATTGATTTTTTTTTTTAAAAAAAAAACATAAATCACTCAATAATTGGTAAACAGTGTGTTTTCTGGGTTACATTTATAAAACAATCATTAACAATTAATTTCTATAATCCATATTCCACATATTAATTTTAGTTGATTTCCTCTTTCCACAAAGTAACCTCTTTTGCAAACATTGAGTTAATACAATTCTTATTGTTTTGATAAGTAACAATTGAATGTATAATTTTTTTCCAATATTCCTAAAAATAATAATCATATTAATTTAACATTTCTTTTCTATTCAATCATTCTGGTTGCCTTTTCATAGATCCTGTTACAATCCTTACTTCAGTTTACTTCTCCCACCAAATTCTAGATATTATTATTATTATTATTATTATTATTATTATTATTATTATTATTATTATTATTATTATTATTATTATTATTATTATTATTATTATTATTATTATTATTATTATTATTATTATTATTATTATTATTATAATTGCATTTATATCCCGCCCTTCTCCTTTCGGACTCAGGGCGGCTGACAAATGATAAAAAGCTAACATACATAATATTACACCTAATTAAAATTTAATTAAAATGAAATATTTGAGAATGTCCAATTAAAAGTAATTAAAACCCCTATAAAATCCCCTAGGCCAGTTCCGCTTGCTGGAACAACCACGTCTTGAGGGCGCGGCGGAAGGAAGGGAGATCAGGAATCACCCTGATCTCTGGGGGCAGTTCGTTCCAGAGGGTGGGAGCTCCCACAGAGAAGGCCCTCCCCCTTGGGGTCGCCAGCCGGCACTGCCTGGCCGACGGCACCCTGAGGAGACCCACTCTGTGAGAGCGTACAGGTCGGTG